TGTGGAAGGGCTGTTCTTTTTCTGTTGGGAATAAGGCTGAGTGTTGTGGCACAGCGAGTACAGCTGAACAAGCTTTTCCCCTGGTTCTCAAAGGAAAGGGTGGAAAAATAGACCAACTTGGATTGTGTCACAAAAATGGCTTCTCACATAACCTTTCGCCAGCAAAGCTTGGCTCAAATAGTCAAAGCAGCAGCCAGAATTCTGGGAGTTTCTTGGTATAGGCTGTGTTGGGGTAGTTCTTAAAACTTCTGTTATGTCAGATAAACAGTGAATCATTCCTTGGTTCATCTGAGACTTTGTTTTCAGTTATGAAAAAACCACTATAATTTTTGCATGCCCAGTAGGTCAGGTCATAAGATATATATCCTTGTACTTCTTTCTGAAAAATGCTTTGATCTGTTTTTATTTTTTCTTCTTTGAAGGTGTTCTGACAACACCTCTTTCTTTGGTTCTAAAAGGTTGCCCTCACAAGTGATTTGAATGAACCAGTGTCTCCATGAGATAACAAACATCAGAGAATTTAGTGGAAACATTCCTTACTTTATCACATTTTTCGTTTAGTATCTTTTGGGAGACTGTTAAGCCAGAATTATTCCCTGACTCTGCTGTAGTTCACATGTGGAAAAAGCTTTTCCATATGCTGCTTTACAGTATGAGACATAATTGTGTACGTGGCAAAAATGTTTCTATACTTATTGTTTTGGGAGACTTTTTTTTTAAGCTTTTTTAATGATGTAGCTAGCAATGGAGGGGAGGAATGGAAAGGAGGGGAAGAGGGGCATGAAGAAGTTATAACTGATCATTCTGTAACATTTGTGTTCAGCAACTCCCTAATGTTAGTATGCTGAAAGACAGCAGTAACTAAAATATCAATTGATTTTTACAGCAACCCAATCCAGTACTCTGGCCTTTAATGCAGGCCACATTCAGCAAAACTAAGTAGAAACTGTATGAAAGTAAACTGTGTTAGTGCTTCGATGACTGTGATGAAACGGGAAATTCCCTGTTTGTGTTAAGGTACCGAACTCGAGCTTGCTTGCTCTCCTTTGAGGCATGAAAGTCACATATGGACCTGATGACGGGTTTGCTCCCCAGCATACTTTGTGCAAGCTCACTCTCAGCCTGCATGGGATGGTGAGCCAGCAGGCAGAAGTGGTCCCACTGAGGGATGCTCATCCAGCCAGGGATGAGCACGCTGGCTGCAGCAAGGTAGGAAGTAGACACTGCATGTGCATTGATGCAGTGCTGTCGCAGAGCTGGTGTGCTATGCCTGGCATCATGCACCATGCACAGGGTTACAAACATGTGGCACAGAACTCTTAGAGCCTCCTGGCTCAGACTTGGAGAAAAACATAGATGGCTTGGTCAGGCTGATGATTAAATGGCAAGCCCGTGGTCAGCACAAAGTTGCCCCTTTGCCTGATGCAGGGTATGTAGGAACTGGCTACTTTGTAGTTTTCTGTGTAAAATAACATTGGGTATCTGAGCATCACCACTGCATCCACCAACACAGGCTGTTGGGCCAGTTCTGGTTAAAAAACTCCAAGGGGTGGTGCTGACTCCAGATGTGACCTGCACAGCACAAGTGCTTCACCCCACTCACCACAGCAGTGCAGGCTGCTGGGGTGGGAGTGCAGCATTTCTTCCTTCTTCCCCTCCCCTCTCTGTGGTAACTAGGGTATTTTGTCAGCCTCTGTTTAATATGCATACTTCTCCCTTGGCTGTTCCCCAAACTCAAAGGAGTGCACTGATCTCCTCAACGAAGGGCTTGTCTAAACAGCGGTGTTGTGGCTGCTTTAATGAGTGTTGTTCAAGTGCTAAATCCCCCTAAGCCTTGTGAGAAGCAGTATCTGCTTTAAAGCACCTCTCTAATGCAGGTGTCCACGGTAGCGTGGAATAAAAGAGTGATTTAAGCTTGCAATGCATGGGGGCTGTATGAGACTTTTTAAAAAGCAAACCTGTTTGTGATGGTTTTATAGAAGCTTAAATACTTGTGGGGGGAAAAGTTGATGGTAGGACAGTTGACGTTAAAACATACGTCAAGATACTTAATTATTTCCTGGTAGGTTTCTTTGTCGCGATGGGCTGAAAGTCGCCAGGATGTTTAGTGATGTCTTGCTGCTGTAGAGTGACTTGGTCCTTTTCCTGGCACATCTCTTTGCTTGAAGTCTGCAGTGTTGGCATTACTCCTATGCAGTATGGTCATTATAAGCTATATTTACGTGCTAAGATATTAGGACTCGACTACACCAGAGCACCTCTCCTAGAGTAATTATGCTGACAGAGCCTCCAAGCACTATAGCAACCACTCCTTCAGCCTAGTTCACACAGCCTGAGTCTGCGTCTGAGGAAGCTGTGGCAAAGCAAGGCGTCCGTAACTATGTCTGCAGCTGAGTTTCTGCAAACACAGGTGTCTCGGTCCTGTGGTGTTTTCTTTCACACCCTTCGCTGAGCCTGTGCTGTTAGGAGCAGCCTGGGGATCTCCCCGCTCCAGCTGCAGGGTGTGTGTTACCCTCTGCTGTGCTGACAAAGTTGCGAGTTTTCCTGCTGAAGCCCGCAGGGGTTTAAGCTGGATCACCACCACCAGGCAGGTGAGCTGGCCTCTTCTCTTTCACTTTCCTCTGGCTTCACTTGCAGAACTAAAGGGTTTTTACTTCCCTGTATCCCAAGTAGGTGTCCCCCATGTTCCTGCACCTTCGTGTTGCAGAGCTTGTCCCCAAACACTCACATTTTCTGGTGCTTTATTCCCTCCTTCTCTTCTTCATTATTTGCTTTGGATCACCGCCCTCCTTATTACAACTGCCCACAGATCCATCTCCTTGGAAACAGCAAAACTTGTTTATGTGAAAGTAATAAGGAAACTAACTGGTGCAAATCTGCAGAGGCATGCGAGGGAGCTCGTGTTCCACCGGAGGATGCTGGAAAAGCGAGTCTCCACTTACGCTGACTGCCAGAAAGTTGGGTTGTGTGAGCAAAAACCACCTTCTTCCTCTGGTGTTTCCAAAGTTGCCTTCCTTTGTTCACAGCAGTGGTAGGGAACTTCTTGCATGCCCATATGCTTATTTTTATTGACCTTTTTTACTAGTCATTTTCATCACCAACATGTAAGGGTTGAGAAGCAATGGGAAAATTGGTCAGTCTTGCTTATCTCTTATATTGTGGGACACTGCTGGTGCACTGTGCCATGCCACGACCATCTCCTCACCTATCTTGGCCCTGACCACCCCTGTGGCCACAGGAATTTCTCAGAGGTTTCTGCAGCTCCCTGTTTGTGCCCTTCACTGCTGCTGCCCCCTGTGTTGCTGGATGTGGCTGATAGGCCTGGCAGGCTGTTAGATTTGGTCCGGTGTCCCTGCACAGCTTTTCTAGGTCCTCCAGGACAGAGCTGTGCAGGCCTATAAGCAGATTCTGTGATCATAAATGTGGCAGGGTCACCAGGTGGGACCTCTTCAAAGAGATGGTGGAGGACCTGGCTACCTCCCTCTGTTAGCCCAGCACTGACAGCTTGTGACCTGGGTTTGGATGGGGTGGCCCATGGGGAACGCTTTGGGAAAAGCCTGTTGTACAAAGTAGCCTGCATAGCTTCCCACTTCAGGGCCAGGGGACTCACCCTGAATGTTGTGGTCTACCTTGGGAGTGTTAGCACACAAAAGTAAGATTCTTTAGGAGGTCTCAAGTCAAGCAAGCCCTGGCGAAGAGATGTTTATGTCGACAACTCTGTGATGACAGCTTGGACGAGGAAGAAAGGGCTTCTGCATACCTTTGGTTTAGTGCATGTCTTGAAGAAACAGTATGGATGGGGGGTGATTTTTTTCTTGTTTTATATGGCCTTTGAAACAGTGCTGTAAGAGCTGCTCCTGGAAAATTTATCCATTATTGAAAACTTTTTTCCCCACCCACCCAGTATGAATGGCTTTTCCCAGGATCTGCATCATCAGCAGGCTCCAGTCCTGGTTTTTGTCACTTCCTCCTGTTACTAGATAGCTCCTTTGGGTGACTTTCTTGGAGACTAGCATCTGTAAATAGCCTTGCCCAAGCGGAAAGACTGTTCCAGTTGCATGCCTTGTATTTTAAACTCAAATGATACCATAATTGTTGTATCACTGAATCTTCAGATAAGCTGATTTTCTATTATCTGAAACTGTATACACTCTTCATTTCTTACACTGTATCAAGTGAAACGCTTGATATTATTTTGCTGGGTAGCAGCAGGTTGATTTAAAACTTGCTTTAACTTCCTAAAAGTTGTAATAGCCTAAAGCACTTTCTGCAAGTTTCACTGTCCATGTCTTGAGTATCAAGGAAATTCACTATTTGACAGGGTGTGAACTGTCTTCAAATGTGTTTCTGATAAAACAAAAATGTGAAAGGGCGGGGGAGAAAGGGAGTAGAGAAACAGGATTTAATCCATATGCCTAATAATGGGGAGAATGCTGGGGTTATTGCATATTAAATATCCTTCTGATATCTCAACACTAAATGTGGAGAACTGTGTCTTTATTATGTAATAATGGTACATTATTTACCATGTGCAATTTGGTTTTTCATCCAAAAAGATGGAGAGAAGAGCACTGCGGAGGCTGCAAATGGAAACAGGCTGTAAAACTTGTAATGCTTGCTCTTCAGGGAGCACTTAGAGGCAAGACACTGAAGTCTGTAAAACAGTTAATAGAAAATGCTGTTATTACTTGGGTTTTAAAAGTACAAAAATCAGCATAAGTTACTAGAAACCACCGAGAAAAATCTTGGAAAATTTTGAGCGGTCAAAGAGAGCTGTGTTTAGTGTTATGAGACACATTGTTTTGTAATTATATTAAAATACAGGATTCATGTGTGGGTGTGGGATTTGTTGCTATTATGATGATGATGATGATGATGATTATGCACGTGATCTGGTTTGATATAAACAGAACCAGGGACAGCCCAGTGACATACTTTGAAAAATCTTACACAGTCTGTTAAAGAACTAATAACATTAAGTAGCTCTCTTTCTACAGGCTATGGATTCTGAATCAAAGAACAGTTTCATAGGAAGCTTTCTTCAGCCACCAGATCGGATGCTTCCTGCAGCCTTTGCTTATATAGAATCAAAGAAGTTGGCAGCTGTTGCTGGTGACAGGCCTTCTATCCCAAATAACCAGGGTAAAGCCAAAATATGTCCTTAAAGTGGTCTTTTTTAATTGTTCCATGTGAAATCTCCTGAGCAAACTCCCCATTCTGTTTTACTCAGTTCAATGCCTTGTTGTGATTATCAGACTGACATTGAGACAGGATGTATATGTGTCCTGAGGGAGTAGTCTCACTGAAGTCGTATGTCTGGAGTGGAAACCTCTGCAAGTCTTCTAACATCCTTATAAACTTTGGCTTTGAAATTTGTTTAACTTAAAATTGCCAGACTTCCTCTAAAAGCAAAGGATGATGCTTCAAACTCAGCAGAAGCAGTTCATGACTTTAAATACAATAAAGAAAGGTAATTAGTATGGTACATCCAGTACAGTGTGACTTGAAATTGGCTTTACATAGCAATATTTGGTTCCATCCAGCTTCAAATCCCTTCCAAGTGATTCTTTGTGTGGTATGTTTCCTTGGGAGAACTTCTGAACAACTGAACAACTCAAACTCTCAGGAAAGTTATCAGCATGAAAGTTAGTCTGTAAGAAATATGGGTCTGCTATGGTGGCTGTGTTCCTACATGGGTGACTATTCTCTGGAGCTCACAAGGCAAATGCCTGGGGGGATTAGCATATCTGGAGAGCTTGGTGAATGATAAGGATACCCATCCTTGGACTTACAGCGATAGCCCAGGAGTGTGCACGTGATCACGGTTCTTCACCTGAAAAATCTGATTACTTCTGCAGTAATCATATGTCATGCAGAGTTTGGGCTTTTTGGATTAAAATGTTCAGTGTAATGTTACGTAGCTAAGAGTTTAAGTAAGGAGATGTTTGGCACACCAGTAGAAAGATGGAAAAGGTGGTCCCACTTCATCTTTATGCTTTCTGGTATCTGTTTTTTTTATTTGGGGCAGAGAGGCGGCAGGGGAAGTTGTTTGGTTTTGTTTGATTGGTTTTGGGCTTTTTTTAAGGTGGTGGAAGTTGTTAAGGAGCTAGCAATATTTGATGGGTATTCCTGTATTGAGAAAATTGGAATAGGGACTTACAAAATGTCAGAAAATAAACTTGACTTGTTACAGAACATGTCTTAAACTTCCACAGGTGTATATACTTTTTGGAGCGTTGCTAGACTTTCTCTTGTAGATGAAATTGCCACTTTTATTTTTGACATAATTTTGACAAATACTGTTTTGTCAAAAAGCTAAAAGCAAAAGCTTTCAACCTTGTCTCTGTGGTTTAAAGAATCATCAAATACAAGAAACTAAGTATTGAATAATTAACTTTTGAAACAATAAAGTATTGCTAAATTTTCTCTTTGTATCTGATTTTTCTCCCTGTTCTGAGCATGTTTTCTTTTTCTAATCTGTGCAGACCAGTTGTATTACACCAAAACTTGTGACCTCACTTGGAAACCTGTGTTCCCTGCGTCTATGTAAACAGAAGTCCCAGGATTTATTGTACTCTGTTTGTCATGATTTCTTTGTGCTTGCTGCCATTTGGAGTGAAACTAGTTTTGCTCATAGACCAATGTTTTATACCTCAGTTATGCAGGAAACATGTCCATTTCCTCCCAGGTATGTTCTGCCTATGTTAGTGTACAGCTGTACAATTAATACAATTAATTTTAGGAGTGATCCTAGGAAGAAAATTTAGGTATTATACTGCACTGTGAAGTGTTTTCTAATAATGATAATCATCGCCATCATCGTCACAATGGGAACTGTCACTTAAGGTGTAACTGCTGCATTGTTTCCTAGCTGTAGTGGCAGCCCTGAAAACTCTTCAAGAAAAGATCCACCGTCTAGAGCTGGAGAAGTCACAGGCTGAAGCTGATCTGTGCAGCCTCTCCAGAGCAGCTGCTCAGTATAAGAAGGCCTTTGAGCTCGAATCCTATGAGAAGGACACAGCACATCAGGAACTGATGCAACACAGGAAAGGTATTTCTTTTAAGTGATAAGGTGTAGCCACAACAGCTCTAAGACTGTATAATGCAGGGAGTGTTTGTTTTGAAAAACTGCTAATTAACACCAGCCCCCTTTCATTCTTTGCTTCAAAATCGCGGAGGTACAGGAGCTTGATAATTGTGGATCAAGCTGAGATTTTTTTTTAACATATATTAATGAAGTATTGCATAACCCATAAAGCTATTTTAAAGTCTAAGCATATTTCAGGTGGTATGTTTAGCTCTTCCAGTAAGCAAGCAGCTGCTTACATAACACTGCTAACTTGAGAAAAGATAGAAGAAGGAAGAAACCAGATTCTGGTTAGATATATGCTGATACAAATGGAAGTAACTGCAGTGCTCATGTCTTTGGAATTCAAATTATGGACTATCTCTGGAAAAACATTTTGATTCTCATGTCTTATATATAAAATACATTTTAACCATATGATTTTTTTGTACTAACAACACTTTTCTTGCCTGTTTTGAGGACACAGAACTCCTCAGTGAAATTAGTCTGGCTAAGTGTGTAGCTCCCTTTGCTGTACCAAACATCTTGTTTCTTTCTGTAGATGCAAGTGAGCAGTTAAATGCAGCACAATCCCGCTGCTCCCTGCTGGAGAAACAGCTGGACTACATGAAGAAAATGATTTCCAGTGTGGAACTGGAAAAGAAAATTATTTTAAAACAACAGGTGAGGCCTTGTAGCATACTAACAAAGTAGTGATATAGTTCAAAAGTATAGAAATGTGCAGGACCTCAATTTTTTTAAGGCCATCATTTTTCCTCAGCTCTCCTCAGGGTGGTAGCAAACAGAAGCAATTTACTGTCTGACTGGCTGATGACAACCATTCAATGAATTGCATGAAAATATTCCTGGGTGGAACTCCTAATGAGCAAAACCATGCTAATACTTGCACATTTGGTAGACAAAAAGGTTACTGGAAACTTAAGTCGTCTTTATCTGCCTGGTATTTTTCATCACTTTGCAATTTAAAAAATATGAAATTTAAACTATTCAAATACCTTTGCTGTAGTGTGGGATTTTTTTTTTTTCTGCCTGAAACAATTTCACTCAGCTGCCAACTCCTTTCTTGCTTATTTTTTCCAGGCCCAGCTGCGGAAAGAGGAAGATCAGAACTGGCTGGAACTGCATGCAAAACTTGAAAAGCTTGAAATACTAGAAAAAGAGTGTCTTAAACTTACTGCTACTCAAAGAATTGCTGAAGTAATCATCCATGGAATGGCAGTCTGAAAGTCATTTGATATAATTTTATGACATACTATTAATAGTAACAAGTTTTGCAAAAGTTACTTCTGTTAAAGCATACCTGACTGAATGCTACCTTGGCTTCTTTTGCATCAGTCTTTTTTCAGTCTCTTTAAAAATTGCTACATTCCTTTGTTATCCTACATTACAACTGCAAGCTACTTCAGACTTCTGATTCAACATGGCAAACTGAATTGTGACTAATCACTCTTGTCTTCAAATTCAGGACAAGATCAAACACTTAGAAGAAAAGATTTGTAAGGAAGACCATCAGCATAAGCTACTACAAGATAAAAAATCTCAGGTAGACTGAAAAGGTTTTATTTTATCTTATTTTTTAGGACTGAAGAAAGCTGTTCTCTCATCCAAAATACCTTCTTTTTTATTACGTTTAAACTCCACATGTTTATTACCCAGGGAGAACTCCTGCAATACTTCTTAGACCAGTTATAAACTACGTATTAGAAAAGCTTGCCAGGTGTGTTGCATATCTCAGTGAAGAAAGATTCTACTTGTGTTTGTATTAATGACACAGCCTCAATGCTGCTTTAAGTGATCTAGGTAGAAAATTAATTTCTAGAAAATTTGCAACTAAATCAGATAACCTTTATTTGTGGCACCAAGAAATTGGTCATATATGAAACCCTATACCCCAAGTAAGGTTGGTTATTGTGTTTGTTTTCCTCTCTTTCTTTAGATCCGTTGCAATCTAATACATAGGGCTATACTTGGAAAAATCTTTGATCAGTGACTGTTATTAAATGAGATCTTGAATAATTCATTATTCTGCGAAGCCATAATCAGTTTGTTGGGCCATCAAACATCTGAGAGAGGAATATTTTCGGAAGAGAGCAAAATCAAAGAAACCTTTTGTTAAAGGGGTGAAGTAGTAGCATTCCAAACCTTGCTTTGTGGATAAGTAGCAGCCATTTGAAAGAGAGCAGTTGTGAGGAGATTCCCTTGGGGTGGGGTGGGGGTAATGTAGAGCTGAAGAGTAATTTTGAAAGAACCTAGCTATAAACAAAACTGACACCTTCATTTAATTCATCACTGCTGACAGTTTTTATACCTCATCCAAGGATGATGGGTTTTCATCAATCCAGAAAGCTTTAAATAACATGCAGATTGTAGCCCAGGTACCTGACCACCTCCAGAATCTAGGAGAATTACACAGTTGAAAACTTGCAGGTTTATGGGTTTCTTGCTTAAATGGCTTGCTGCTGCAGAGCAGAAAGCCTAGAACAGAGATTTTTGTCTTCTAAGAAACATAGTAAGAATGACTTTCCCAGAGCAGGTAGTCTGACTTTAGCAGTATAGAATAAACATTTGCTCAAGAAAGGACTCAGGTGCAGTAAACTGAGTCCTAAACTAGTACTGGTGCCATCTTAGTACACTGCAGAATGGATTTAGGTCTGTTGGATCCGGGCTGGGAAACACAGGGTGTGGCGTGGTTCACTTCCTTTTGATGACAGAAAAGCCAGAATATTCTCACTTTAGTGATAGACCTCCAGCATTGTTTAGCTGGAACTGTTACACGTGCCAAACCAAAGTCCTTGTCCTATGTTTAATTGGCAATGATTATTATCCTGTTTATCATGGGCCTTGATATCAGCTTTGAACTACAGAGCAATCTAAGTATTGTCCAGAAGCTTCGACCTCAATGTTACACAGAGAGGCTTAGTTTGTCCCCAGATTGTAAAGCCAAATGTTCATATTATTTGGATTTTATGATCAGATCCCCAGCATGCGGCAGGATTGGCTTATCTCAGTTGCTGATTGTCACAGTGGAAAAATACAGCTGCTGCAGCTGGACATGAAAATGAGGAATTCTAAGTCAGAGCTGTAAGATCTGCCCAACACCCTGCCTTCATAGTAATCTGTTCAGTTTTTACGAGTAACTTATGCCTTCCAAGCAGGACAGTTAATAACTGTCCCTTGACTGGTTCTTATCCGTGCACAAAAGAGGGAATTAATTAAAACACTCTATTTCATACTTCTAATATTACATTAAATGCTTGTTTTCTTTTTTGTTTATTCCCACAGCTCCAAACAGAATTTCATACAAACAGAATTTTGATGTCTTCGGCAACATCTCAACATGAACCTGAAGAGGAAAATGGGAAGAAGAAAAAGCCTAAGAAGGTAACATGCAAATTTCTATTAGCATACTGTTGCTGATAGCATCTGGCTCACACAGAGATTGGAATTTGTGGAAAATAGTGATGTAAGAGGCACTTGATTCATCTGCTGCACTTTACTCCATTTTTTCCTTTTTTTTTTTTCCTTTTCTTTTTCTTTCCTTCCTTCAGTAATAAAAATGGTACTAGGGGCGTTAGCACCTCACTGGAAAACCTTCCTTTATCAACTTCACGATAATCTTTGTTAGTCTTACTGCTGTCTCACATGTTCTCTTAGCTGCCTTTCAGTTTATCTGGCAAAATTAGTTTCCAAAGGAGTTTTAACTCAGCATCTTATGATGGTGTGTTTTGGGGGGATTGCTGAAATTGAGAGAATTCATTTTGCAACACATGTTGCAGATCAGTCAAAATTTTGCAACTGTTGTTTTGAAAACTTAAGCAAGATTCAATTTCTTTAATGTCAACCTAATTGTCAAACTATCTGCTACATGCATATGGAATAAAATTTATTCATCTCAGCTATTGCAAAATCTTACTCTCTACACATACAGGAGGGAAATTATTCTTTTTTTAAACCAGAGGGAAACTGAGGTGATGCATTTCACTGTGTGTTTATTTTAATTTTACTTACTAAAAAAATAAAGTTTAAGATTTTGCTCTTGGGTCAGCAGATTTGAATTTCTTGTCTTATGTTTCCTTATGGCAGAGAAGTCCTACAATGAAGAAAATGCACCTTTCACAATTACATGTAAAGGCTGGTGAACTACCTTTTGTGGCTGGGAAGGTGGGTGAAAACCAATGTTCTCACTAAAGTGGCATCTACAGTTCGAGTAAAGTCTTTACTGTAATTGTTATTTACTTCTGTAAACCACTTACTAATTCTCCTTTAAGTCCGTCAGCTCCAGCCATTCTGTCAGCGCAAACGTACAAAGTGTGCTGCATATTATGAAGCACCGCAATCCGTGTGTCTCATCACAAAGAGGAGCTACGTCTGGGATTTGCAGACACAGTGCCCTTTCAAAGTCTGTATCATCTTGTTCCGCGTCACCTACTGCCACCACAAGCCTTTCAGGCCTTCTGCTGGCCACGCAAGATGAGCTGGGCCAAATGAGCTCGTGAGTACTCGTCCCTGGTGTTATGAGTAAGAGTGACTTCAGCAACACCCCTGAGAAGCAATAGGTGTGCTATATATAGTTGAACCTAGTCTGTTTTGGGTGTAGGACCACTCCTTGACAGAATGACCTGAGCAGGCTTGACTGGTTGGATTTTTCTCATTCGAAAAATTCTTTCTCTCCTACTGTTTAACTGGTCTTGTGAGCAAGCAACATACTCTTCATCTGGGTTTTTCTGCTTCCACATCCTGTATTTACATGAGCTGCTACTGAAGTAACAGCTGCAGCAAACAAAAAATCTTTCAAGCATGTGCTTTTTAGAAATTATAAGCATAATCAGGGATTTACAGAGTAGGACAAAAATGTTCTCCAGGACAAAACTGCAAAGGTGGTGTTAATACTGAGTAGGCCTGCAGGATGCAGCCAGTCTGGGTGGTGGAATAGGTTAGTACGGCACTGGCATGAAAAGTCTTGTCACAACATCTGTCCTGTTCCTTTGTACTCACTCTGTGTTCTCTCCTCACATGCGTAGCTGATGGGTCTTTGTGCTGAGTCAGCCTGCCCTTCGTACCCTTTGCTTGTTGCAGGAGAACTTGCTGGTCCTGTAAAGGGGTTGTGAAAGAGGGACAGAGTCTCCTGCCAGAAAACTGGGCAGGGTGTGGAAGAAGCTAATGCATTAGATGGGAGTGTATGTATCATTCTAGCCATGCAAGTAAATGGGGACCACAACTTGTGTTCTTAGGCATCTTCTCATTAACACCAGCTTGTAGAATTGTGGGCCAAAGCTGTGTAGCTGGTCATAGCAGACATGATGGCATGATGAGCTGTGGTTTGAACAGAGGAGGGTGTGTTGGTTAAACCAGTTAGGATGTTGACAGTGATTTGAAATCCTTGATGTGGCAAAATTTAAACTGGCAAGCAACCTCACCTTCAAAAAAACAATGTCTGGCTTACTCATGGCAGGTCAAGGACAGGCTATGGGTTTTTTTTTTATAACAACCACCAGTTGCTGCAATTAAGCTGTCAAGGAGCAGCAGTTACTCAGAAGTCAGAAAAGAAACCATGACTTTTGTAAAGAAGTGACTTATCTAGCAGAGGGTCTCTGGTTTCAACTAGTTCAGATATCTAGGTATCAAGAAGATCTTCACAATTTCTTTTAGTTAAACTAGTTAATTTAATTAACCAGCCCACTTCTCTGCAAATCTTTTTGAGTAGAATATTTTAATTTGAGTAATCTGTCAGAAAAATTGTAATTTGAATGTACTAGTTTAAACAATACTCTTCTGTACCACACTAAGCTTTAAAAAGTCTGCACTAAAGGAGTCAGGAAGTAAAAATGCTGTATTGCATAGCTGCTGTTTGCTTTAAAAACCCTCATTTTGCACACTACTGTATGTGTAGTTGTGAAGTCTGTGAGAAGAGGGAAAAATGAGGCGGACATCAGCTACAAATTTGGAATGAGAAAATTAGATGCATGGGAATATATATCTCATGTTAATATATACCAAATTAATGTGTGTTGTGTGAGAGGGTAAATAATGCTAAATTGTACTCCAGACAAAATAGCTACCAGCTCCTGCAATACACTGGAGGTATTGAAAGAAATCCTAGGGACTATATCATGAATACTTAGCGTGTCATTCTTGTCTTTAATAGTGAGTATCAAGAACTTCTGAAGCAGATACAGGAGACTCAAGACTCCAGAGTTCGTGAAGGCCTGGAACAGGAGCTGGATTGCCTTGTAAAACAAATGGAGATTAAAGGAGAACAAATATCCAAGCTGAAAAAGCATCAAGCTACTGTAAGAATAATGTGTAAATTCTCTAGCCAGTCACATTCTAGTTGAAAGGCTGCCACAACTCTGCCTCCTGTTGTCATCAGCTGGAATGTCACTGGAATGTTTTAAGCCAGGATGTTCCAATATGAGTTATTGTAATTAAACTGCTACCTCGTGTTCTTGTACCTCCAATTCCTTCATTTGATCAAGAAAAACTGCTTGCAGCTGGCAGCTAGGAAGGTATGCTAGTGGGAAAACTTCCTGCCCTGTGGCCATTCTGCAATACAGAGCTGGGTTGCTCAGTCTGTCACTTCTGCTCACCATGTTAAGACAAACTGTTGAGATTTCATTCCTTTGTGCCCCTCTGGGAAATGAGAAAATAGAAGCTATATAATTCCTGTACAGACTGGATTAAATGTCTTTTATGTTTCTGAAATATTGAAGCTTTTTGTTAACTAAATAATATGTTGACCAGAGCTTCTCCAAAATCATAGCCAGGCAAGCCTTTCAGTTTTGTTTAACCCCTAACCTGTCTGCATTCTGTATTTGGTTTAGAGCCATAGATAACAACTTTTCATACATGCCCATATAAAATCACTCTTCTGTAGATGAACAGCTTAACCCTTTCATAGCAATATGTTTTGGAACATGTGATTAAAAATTAAATCCATAGTTCAGTCTGATAGCTTTCTGTTCTTCCATCTTATGTTTCAAGATAAAAAGATTCACCTGGGAATTTTGCTTATACAGGAAACAAAACGAAACTCAGTGTGAGGCCTTATGAAATGGGGAGGTTATGGTTAATTTAATTTAAATCTGACCAATTTTATTCATGCTCATTCTGTGACAGATTTTATTCACTCAAACTTTTTATGGTCCATGGAATTGCAGGCATGAAGGTGCTTTATATCAAGGCAGAATTGCCAGAGTCGCATGCTAGCAATATGGACTGAGTCCTTGTTGCCTCTCTTGGCAACGTCAACTGTTTTTTGGATAAATCTCTTATGTTCTTGAGGAGCCAACAATTATGGTGTTTTCCTTGTCTCAGAATCTTGCTGACTTCATCATCCAGGAACCTAAGTGGACAACAACTGCACCTTTATTTCTTTCTTTTGCGTATCTTTATGGCTGCAGTTTGCATTTGTTTTGGGATGATGAGGAGTAGCACGAACAACAACATGATGCAACCTTGCTGTCATCCTTGCCTATTATCAGAGTGCAGATCTTCTGGCAAGTCATCTGTGCTCCTGTACAGCCTCATCAGAGCACACCCTTTAGGGTCATTATGTAAATAGTAATGTCTGTATGATTACTGTCCTTGTTATGCCCTTGTTATCAATACAGGCCATTCCCATAACCCCTTTGCCTATACTGGTGCTTTTGCACACAGACACTTCTATTTGTGTTTTGTACGGACCACTCTTAATATTTCTGATGTATATTTCTACTTCTAGAACCTGTCATACTGAAAATGTCATAGCAATCTCTGTGTTTCACAGTTAATAATATATTCTAGAATGCAATTAAAGTTAATTATTTTTAGAAATGGACTTGAAGCCTAAATTGGCATTTGGAATGCTTCCAGCCTAATTTTATCTTTGGGAAGTGACCTTTTCACGCCAAGTGCAAGTCAAGACTTATTATTTGACATTTAAAAAAACATTCTTTAGCAATTAACCCTATTTATTCTGTTTTGCTAGGGAGGCTTCAAAGTAAGCTGCTTAGATACAGTAACCAGTAAGAAACAGTATACATTTTAGAGATTTATTGGTTTCATTTTTGTTTTGTTTTGTTTGTTTGTTTGTTTGTTTATTATTAGGGTAGTACAATATGAAGTGGAAAAAGACTGTTGTAAATATAGATTGGTAAAAATTATATTCTGTCTCTCTCAAACAAGCATTTTTACTTTCAACAACCTACTGGACATGGGTGAGGTTAGTTTTCTGTAATGCTTTCTGTATGGGCAAGGTCAGTTTTCTGTTACAGCAAGACAATTGTGCAAGATTAGCAAGTTTAAACTTTTTTTTAATGTTCCTTGGACATCTGTAGTTTGGAGTTTGGTATAAATCCAGTAATCTCTACAGCTGTGGGTCTTTGGAGTACATAACATGCTATCTTTCTTCCTAGGTGTGGAAATTAAAGAGAAAAACTCAGAAATTGAAGCAAGGGGCAACTCATGTCAAAACAAAATGTGGTGACCAAAAGGAAGGAACAGAGATTGGAGTCACTGTAAAGGAAAGGAGGTCTAAATCTTGTCCTGGGCAGAAAAGCAGAAGCTCTCTTCAGCTGCTAAAAACTGTGAGGAAACTTCAATCATCTCTGAAAAAAGATGATATCATCTGAGAATAATAGTTCTGAAGTATGCTATATTAGAAGTTTGTGAAGTTGTCTAACACCTAACAGATTTTTAATTGCACAAATAGAAAAATTTTAAAAATAAAATAGATATAGTATAGATGTAAATATAGATTCTAAACTGCTTATTCTCTAGTAGGTCTATTTGTTCACCTCAGAATTTACTTTCATGTAGGGTAGCTATAACTGGATTACACTTTCTTGTAATAAAGTGTTTTAATGGACTAATTAAATGCTTATTTATTAACTTGTCAAATAAAATTTTATACCATTTTTACTCCAAAAATGGAGTGCGATCTTTGGTGTCCTGTTTCTCCCACTGCCAAGAAGATACTTAGAGTTTGCTTTTCCAGAATAACTAGGACTAGTGCTTCTATGCAATTAAAAACAGTGGGTTTCCTTTGTAGAATTTGTGTACTTATACAAATGGAGATGGGTCTTTATGCTAATGGTGACTCTGTTCTTTTCCACCCCACACCCCCATGTATATGCAGTAAAAAATGTAATGGTGACTTCAGATCAACAATGGTTATTTAGTTGCAACAAATTCTTGTCTTGAGGTTTCTGGCTGATACTGAATCTCTTGCATGTTTGCATATGTCAGAAAAAAAAATTAACTTCCTCCAGATGTGTAAGTTCTGCTGCAGACCTGTTGTATAAAAAGAATGCAGTATTTTTTCCAAGCCTATATGCAGGCAAGAATAAGAAGTGGAGGCATACTCTGATGTCAAGGGTTTTGAATAAAGGCTAGTAATGGGATATGGTCCCAATTGAAGGTTGAGTCTTTGGATCAGTAAGTTTTACTCTGGCACCCTTCAAGGCAAAGGATTAGAAAAAGTTCAGATAATTAATTTATATTTATAATGGATTGTTACAATCTTTGTGTGTGAGCTTTTTCACTTCTCTGTGTGTGTGTGTGTGTGTGTGTAGTTTATATGCCCTAGATATATTTATCAGGACCATGGAAGACCAGGTTATTCAGGTGATATTCAGGGATGAGTTTCCTCCACTCTGTTAAATTGCACAGACACCCTTCTTACGGATTATTTCTGGCTTAGAAAAACACATTTTATGCTTAAAAATGCTTAGACAAAATTCTAAGCATGGTGTTTTCCTAGTGTAGGTTTATACATTATTTCTGAGGTAGGTTTATGCATTTCTGGACACTGGAATCACTGATACTGGCAGGGATACGATGCATAAATCACCTGTTCTCTGTGTCTTGACCAGGTGTTTTAGTTGACTATAAAATTCTGGGGAGAGGAGGCTATTTTGGAGTTGGAACTGGAGAAGGAGGGCCCCTCTTGGACAGGGGCTGTGGTGGAGGGCTGCAGCTTTGGGCCAGTCAACCAGGTCCTGGCTGGGGCAGTGCTTAAATGACAGCAGTCTTCAAAAAATGTGTGCATTGACAGGACCTGTCCAGTCCCAGAATGAAACTGCCGTCGTTTGCCCTTCTCCAGGGTAAGTGGCTGGAGGAAAAGGGAAACAGCTGAACCTGGTCCTACTGGACATTTCTCATCTCTGCCTGCTTCTTCTGCCTGAGCTGAAAAAGCTGTCTTGCTCAGACTCAGGAGCTGAGATTTGAGAGGGGAAAATAAGAATGGATGATATGTGAGATTACAGTGGTTGATGGGGGTAAATCGCTTGTATTCCACCTCAAAAGATTTAATTATATTTAAAATTTTTTTTTGCCTTTTTTTTTTTTTCCTGAAGCCTTTGTTTCTCTAGCACGTGTGTTTTCACACACTAAAGCAAAGCAGATACATTTCAGCATGGGCTGGGAGATTCAAACCGGATACAAAGGAGTTGTATCCCAAATCAGTTTTCTTGATTGAAGAAAGGCAGAAAATTTTTTTTCTGATTGTGTCTTGGGAGGGTAGAGTAGGAGGTCAGCTGACCTGCTTGTTTAATAGTGTATTCACAGTTTGAGGCAATTGTCAGTCATGTAAAATAAGCCTTCAAAGAAATGTACAGCAGTGAATAATTCTCTAGAAGCTGCAGGGGTGAAGTTAAGCTGGTGCACAACTGTGGAAAAGTTCAGCTCTGCGGGAATTAGGCAGATGACAGTGAATTTTGCTGGGATCTGGATGCTTCATGTCTTTATGCTCCAAAAATGTTCTGGCGTGTAACTCCATAAACGTACATTGGAGAAAGCACGGTGGTCAGAGCAGGGTTCTTCACAAGAACAATCTGTTTTTGGCTCAGTAAGTGCTTACTCTACTCTTTTACAAATCCTTGTTTTGATTTATATCCTAGGTGTTTTTGTTTGTCTTCTCAGATGAAACTGTATATTTATTTTTTTATTAATGTTTTGGATCTAGCTGTACAGGGCATTAGACAAAAACACACAGTGATCCCAAAAAAAGCTAATTGGTTTATTTACTCCAAATCTGGATTGTTTTACGCTGAGTTAGGCAAAACTGCCACAACGGGTTCCCTTGGTATTTGAATCTAGGGTCATATTTTATGTCTGGACATTAAGGAAATTGGACAAAAGATGTAGGTCAAACAGTATAATTAAAAATACAGACCAGCAAATTGTATCCAACAATAGTTCACTTTCCTGCTGCTAATGAAATATGCTAGCACAATTTAATGGTTTATTACTTAAGCCTACTGGAAAGGCTTTGTCCTAGTACAAAAGGCATTCAGTTTGAGCGTGTGTGTTACGATATTCTAACCAGCAAAGCTGGAGGTTGGACATAGCTATAAATCCAGGGTGTTCTGGGAATAGAAGCTGGCAAAAACATTCAGAGCAAAATAATCAGGGCAGGATCTCGCTGAGATTTGGACACTGGCTAATGTAACTGAGTGCAGATGTTTATGTGGACCAAAAGACATTCCCAGAGTAAGAATACTGTACAAACACATGATGATTTTATAGCAGGGAAGAAGCCAAGGAAGTGGGGATAATAAAACAAGTGCTCTTATTTCTGGTGAAGCACTTTCTGGTTTCCTCTGCTTGCCTGTGCTGAAGTGGTCAAGGCTGCCTCTGTTGTGTCCGCTGTTGGGGCCTGTTGAAGCTTGTGCAAGTTGCCTGTGTTATGGCTCAGGTGCTTACCTGAAGGTCTCCATGGGCTCCCCGTGTGGCTGCCATAGTCTGGCTTAGATAAGCAAAGAGAAGCAGGCACTTCTGATGGAAGTGTTACAGCTAAAACAGGTCAGCTGAGTCTTATCCCAAATGCCTGGTTCTCTCTGCTGAATGCAAAGGGAGTCTGGGGTGATAGGTGAACTTAAATTGGGGTATTTATATGGTACAGAGAGCTTGGCCAGATAATTTCTGATGAAATGTGAAGCTCTTTTCACTGATTTTTGGGGTTCCTGGGTGAGCTCTTCAAAATCCAGAAGCACTGGGTAAGTCCCGGGTTACCGACAGCCTGAGAATTCTGTGCATTGCTTTGCATACAACCCTTTTTCCTCCTGTTTTCGTGTCAGCCTCTTGTGCACTGCTCTACATGTGGGTGCCTATCCTGAGAAAGCACTTAGTGTAACTTCCCCATGATGAGTACTTTCACTAATCCCGAAACTAGGATATCAGGGACTCAGTGCTATGTTCTTTGGAAAGACACAGGATACTAGAGGATTTTATTTTGTTGCTGCTTAAGATGATTTCTTTTTGCAACCTGAATTTATTTATGAGCAGCTTAACTGTTTTGCCAGAAGTTTTTTCTCTGTACCCAGAAATGGTAATTTATATTCCCACTGCATCACTCTGCTACCCTAAGTTTACTTCCATGTTATCGAATAGCTGAGGTAAATAATTGCCATTAGTTTTATAGCCATATCTGAATTATTTTTATCTGAACTCCACTTGGCATAGTGGCATCATTTCTTTTCTCTTGGTTCCTTCTTGTTTGTACAGCTGAAGAACATCCTACTCTTTATTTTCCACAACAAATTTTTTTTTAGCTGATATTTCTTCCTTTAGTTTTGGGCTTCCCGGCCCTGACTTTTGGGTTAGCTCCACCATGGTTGCTTCCAACCTCTTCCCTCTGCTTTTACTGTTGAGGGCAAGTTCCATTTAACTTTTAATCATTAATTTAAAGATTCTCCAGCTTCTCTAATATCAAAATCCTTGAGGTATTGATTGCTTTGGAGTTTTCTAGTTACTTAAATTGATTTATCTATAATTAGATCTTTTTGGGCGTTAGCACTTTACATTCATGTCTGGTTTCGTTTTTCCGTTCTGACCCAGATTATGATGGTTTCTCTAAATGTTCTCCTCACTTGCCAAAGCTGTCTGGAGTATCATATAGGTTCAGTGACCAACCGAAGGCATTTGTAGAGCATGGTAGATTTTTTTCTTTTTAGTACTAATATAGTAGAAATCTTTAGCTTCATTCCCAAAAGTAAGTACTAATCTACTGCACATAGATTCCCTTTGACCTTTGAATGGTGCTATTCAGTCATAAATACCAATTTGTTAAAATAGCAGACTATCTCATTACCTTTAGCATAAATTCAGTCTTTGCAAAGCATCTCATGTCCTGCTGCCAAGGTGTGGTTGCTATTCTACTTTGTTTATATTAAATGCTTTTAGTGTCAGATTTCGTGTCTTATGTTGTTAATTCAAGCTCTCACATAAGCATCTCTCTGTAAATTGGTTACAAATGTCCCTGTCCTCCTCTTACCCTTTGCTTCCAAGTAACACCAAATCTTTCTGCAATTACTTACTTCTTCCCTTAGAAGCAATTTTTTTTCTTTCTGTTTGATTATGCCCTGCACTAAAAAGTGAATAGAATAATTCTAATTACAGATGGTGAAAAGAGAGCAAGGCTACTTTAGAAATTATCACAAACCAAATGTTTCCTGTTAGAACTGAGTGAATTTGGTATTAGCAATTATTTACAAACAGCACATTTGTTTAAAAGTGTCATTTCTTGCAAATTCTTTCATTTCTTTGATTCTGGCCAGTTTTAAATAATAGTTTCAGTTGAGAAAAATGGGGAGAAAATAGATTTTGAATGTCACCATATTTGGTTGTGAGGAAAAAAAAGAAAGCAAAAAGTTTTGTTTCTACTTGTGTAAAATGTTTTATTCAACACATCAAATTTAATGTTTAATTACCTAAACTTTCTCAGGTGTCATTAAGAAACTAAGTGAAGGAGGGAGGAGACGGCATTTGGTAGTGCAATGCAGGAGACCCAGTTTTTCTGCTGTTTTCCTCAGGCTGCTGATCAAACTGGGAAAAATCACATTTACCCAGTTCTGTTCCTGATATTAAAAGTCTTCTTGTTAAAGGAGATGCTGAGCATAAACAATTATTTAATGAAGTTGATATTGCCTATATAGCAGTGGAAATTTGTACTTTTTGCGTGCACAGATCTCCAGGTCCAGAGTTCACAAGTGATTTGCTCTTTAGAAAGGAGCTGCATCTTGACTGCTTTGTCTTTTAGTCTGTCAAACTCAAGTAGGCAAAATGGCTTCTACTGAGAAGGCCCGGCAGCTGGAACAAGAACTACCAGCACAGCTGACAGAGCTGAAGGCAGAAATAGAGGACAACAGGATACTCCAGGGAATGCATACACGTACCAAGAATTTGCTGGGGAATGAAGGAGAGTGAAGTTATAGTGACGTGTTGTATCTTCTTGTTGGTTTTTTTTTTTTCTTCCAGTTGTGATACAAAAGCCGTGTGTGTATAGCTGTTGAGTTTTGCACCCTGAGTACGTATGTGGGAGTCAGGAGCACCAGCTTTTCCATTGTGAGTTTACCACAGAATTGTGGCTGAAATGGAAAGGAATGTCAAAACATAAACTAAATTGATTTCATGGTGCATATTGTAAGCAAGGATCTCCCTGGCATGTCAAGTGTGTCCTTCTTACAGTGAAGAGGAAGCATCTCTAAACATAATGCTACAATGTATAAACAGAGTAGTCACATATAAGGCAGCTGCTCTTACTTTTCTCAGTGGTGATGAGATGCAAACTATGGCAACGTACCCAAATTTGCCACTGTGCTTCAGGGAAGCTGAAGACTACCTGGAGAATATGTGGAGGAAAACAGAGGCGAAGAACTCTTGATTAGGACAGTTGAAACAAAAAGGAAAGGAGCTGGATTTATGTGTCCACCCTGTTTTCTCTAGATTATAAATGTTGAGACACACGGGAGACTGCTGTAAAGGTGAAGAAAGAAACTTCTGTTTGCACTTATGAATAGGCCATAAAATAATGGGCTAAAATTCAAGCTTTCCAGAGATAGTGTAAATTAAACACTTATCTCTAGACTAGGAGGTTGCTGACCATCTGTAATGACCATCCATCTTTAAGAACAGGATAGATAAATACCTTTAGGGAACAGATTTACTTTCCTGCCTTAGAGCAGTGTAAGTGATAGATGATCACAAAACCTTTTCTGATCCTACCTCTTTAGGGCTCTGAAGTGTTCCATCAGAGTTTGCCATATATTGCTTTTGGACGAGACTTAGGAGCAGCTTTTGTTAATGGTCCAGTTTTTCACCCGTTTTCAATTTTCATGAATTTGTTTCACTCAAGTACATAAAAACGTGTAATGTGTGGTTCCTGTAAGCATATTTATCATAGAATCTTAGAATATCTCATGTTAGAAGTGAGTCATAAGAATTAATGAGTCTAATTCCCTTCACCTCACAGGGCTACCTAAAACTAAACCATATGACAAAGAGCATCATCCAGACACTCCTTGAACTTTCTCAGGCTTGGTGTCATGGCCACTTCCCTAGGGGCTTGATCCAGTGACAAACCACCCTCTGGGTGAAGATCCTTTTCCTCATGTCCAGTGTTGATACACAGGAATTAAAAACCAGTTCTTCTCTGAAAGTTTCCTCAGCTTCCCCTTCTGTGCCATGGGTGTATTAGGAAGGTGACTAAATTGCGAAGGATGCTTGTCAAGGAGCTCCATTGCATAGCTGTGCATTGTAGTATGTGTTTATAGGATTGGCAAACACCCTGATGGACTTTTTCAGGGCTTTGAGGTGGAAGAAAAGAGTTTGCCAAAAAATGTCTGTTAATTAAATAAATTCTCCTGGTTTAATATAGTCTTTTCATATCATTAAACTTGCTTACTCCTAAATTCACCATCTGAGCTATATTGGGCCTGACAAACGTTTGGTTTATACCAGCTTGTACATAGCATCCTACTGAACTTTTTTTTTCCCCTGAGGCTCTGTTGCAATTCCAAAGGATGCTTCCTGTTTCAGAAAAGAAAGGGAGGCAATAATGAAGAAAGGTTTATGGGTAGGTGGCTAAAATATACACCATTTAAAAAAAAAAATCTCTTCGCTCTTTACCAAGAAGTAACTGAAAACTAAAACAGAGAGAATTATATAGGTTTTTTTTAAATCTGGGCCTGTAAAGACAGACTGGGAAGGGTCGTAATGTTGTTTGCACAGTAATAACACAGCATGACCCTATTTGAATACTAATCTGGACCTGGCTCGGCAGCGTTTATTTATGTGACAACTCTCAAACAAATTCAAAGCATAATAATTTTTCTCTATTTACCACTTTTTTGGAATTTTTTTATGTCCTGAAAATTAGATAAATTCATCGTGTGCTCCTTTCACAGGTGCCAGAAGCAAATCCCTGTGTTATTCAGGCTGCTGTCATGCAGAGGGAGGTAGAGAGCTGGGAATAACCCGGAGAAGGGAGCACACAGCAGCAAGCTTGCCTCTGCTGCTGGCCCAGGTAGGGCTCCCACTTACTGCAAGGACCCAGGAGCTTTTTCTGGCCCAGCAGGTTACACTGTGCACTTTTGAAAACAAAACCAGCATGAAACTCCCTCCTGAAAACAGACATGAAAATATCAGTCGTTGCAGTTCCCTTGTATGATATAAAATTTTTCTCCTCTTTCTTTAAAGGACAGGAATCTATGTCAGATCAGATGGGCTGGGACAAGGTTCTCCCAATTCCCTGATGGTTCTGTGCTGTTCTAGGACATCTGTATTGCAGGTTACTGTTATTTTTATTTCCATTTTTTAAGTGGAGTTCAAATTTCTAGGTTCAGTGGACTGAATTCTGCCATTTTCTCATGGATTAACCAGGGTTTTTTTAATACCCCTAATACTTCCAATTGGTCACCTTAGGGGAAATACACTTCACTTCACTACTAGCACAGTGGTCTTTGGTGGCTGATTAGCTGTTGTTTTGGTGTTACTCTCCGATGCTAAGGATAATATATATGCTGTCCAAGTTTCCTGTAATGTCAAGCTGCTGTTGCTTACAAATGTGTGACTTGCTGGTTATTTCTGATTTTATTCACATTTTTGCAGGCATTATTCCTCAGCTAGTCCAGAGTAAATATTTGCATATGCTAAGATGGGAGAGATTTTGTACACACGGCAGTGTTATTGGACAGTTTTATCCCCTTTATCAGGAGGGAATCAAATCTAGGATCTAGCACATAGACATCTAGCACAACAGCTGTTCATGAAAAACAGTGTGTCAGCAACCGCTTTTTTTTCCACCCAAATTAAAAGCTGTTAACGCTAAGGGTAATTTTTGTCTAGACTTTCAGCTGTCTGCTTATGGTCAGAATTAGCTGCTCAGAAAGATTCACTGTTGGGACTGAAATTCCCTTTTCCTCTTTGGGTCGGAAATACCACTTGTAATCATTTAGGGAGGAAATAAACCTTTGAGATTACTTGCAAGCTATGATTTCTCATGCGGTGGAAATGCAATGGCCTTCTTGCTAATTGAGGAACAAGATGCAAAAGTGATAGTCTCTCTTTTATATATATAAACAAAAGCAAATTAGTCACATATACAGTGTTCAGAGGGCTGCAAGGCTCTCAGTGGCAAGGTAAAGTTTTCTGACAGGAAAGAAAAATCCAGTGACACAGGAAGATCTGGTGGTTTACACCTGGTGGTTGTAGTGTGTCACCTACAGTCTCTGAAGGTAGCTTTCTCCTAAGGTAAGATGAGCATTTTTTGAACAGTGAAGTATAATTATGAAGCATCTGAGTCTTGGATAAGAAAATAGACAGAGGAAGATCAATGTAAGAAATCTAGAGGTTTGTAGCTAATGAACTAGACTGTGTACATGTGACTTTCAATTCTTCTAGCAGATTGATTTTACTAGAAAGGAAATACTGCAATGATAAAAATTAATTTAGGTAAGTGGAATAATGAGCTCCTTGTGTGCAGTGTACCTAGCATTGAGTTGTATGGGTTTGAGGAGATCCAGGATAAGGAGAAAGCTTGAAGAGAGAGAGCAGGACAGTGTCAGGGACTGAGACATCTCAAGTCTGTAGACTTGGGGAGTATTTGTTTATTTAAGCATCACCTTTTGGAAATACATTTGAATACTTCCTTATTTTATCTAATTTATTCAATGATTTTATTTTATCAGTGCTGTAAGTCATTGACATTGAATAAATTTCTGAAATTATATACAATGGAGAACTACTGTTTGTTTTTTCTCTTTTGTGTTTTATTTTGTTACTAAATTTGCCACTGAACAGTTTTTATGCTTTCTAAATGACTAAGAATAACAACTGATATGTTCTTAACCTCAGGTATTCCAGCATTTATCTATTTCTCGTAGAACGAATGTGGCTGATGAGAAATATCCTAATGTGGTCCAAGATAACTGGGAAAAATTAAGAAGTGCTTTTGATAAGAATTCAGATATTTGTAATAGTGATATGTTTCCCTGTTCAACAGTTTTAGGAAGAAATGGGGAGAAATTATCAACTTTCTTTTAAAACCACAGTTCTACATATCCTTTATTGATACGTATTTTCTGAGAAAGGTCAACAGTGAAAATGTTGCCATCCTTGATTTGTATGATTACGAAATTTGGAGTGTGGCTTTTAAAGTCAGCAAAAATCCTGGAAATCTGGTATTCAGATTCCAGAGTCTGGAGCCCTGAATCTGCAGCGGTTGCTCCTTTGGCCTCACTGTACCCTGGGCTGCAAAAACAGGTGGTTCAGAAGGATACTGGTGGGGTCAACTTGGTGGAGAATCCAAGGTGTCCCAGTTATGCCAAATCCTGAAACTCACCCTTCCAATTTTCTGTGAAAATATTATGTAAAATATTTCTGTGGGTGGCCTGTTTCTGGAGAAGCTTAGAGAAGAAAGATGTTATTTAAAGACTTATACTGAAATATCTCTAGGAGAATTTGCTTGTGGTTATTTTCAAGTTCTCCTTCCTTTTGAAGGAAGGGAGTGATGTTGTTCGTGTAGAGTTACCTATGTGAGTGGTACTTAGCAAGAAAGGCAACATTCCTGCCACAGAGTGTTTAAGTCCTATGATTTAACCCATCCTGTTACAGAGTGGAAACGGTGTGGAACTTTAGGAGCTCACAGGATTATTGTCTCTGGAAAAGCACAACTCCTCTCTCCTGAAGGGGGGTTGGGGGCACACCTCCTCCTTGCTGGTGAGGAATGGGCTGGCCAGGATGGAGGAGTGAAAAGGGACTGTGACTTGTTCTCCCTGTCTCTTTTCTCCACTGAAAACCACTACCACAAGGGATGTACCTGTGGGTCTGCACAGAGGAGGAAGGCACAGCCCTTGGCTGGAGTACCACTGCCCAACCAGCGAGAACAGTGCTACGGAAAGTGCAGATTTACCTGGGACAGATAAGGGGCCTTTAGCCCTCAGTTAGTGGTCTCATTAAGCTCTAACTGGTCTAACTGGCTATGCTGGTACAGCCCTCTTTCACTCCTTAGGCCCAAGGGGGTCCCATGAGGGGAAGCTATGGCAGCACTGCCCCGGGAGTACAGTGGCACCAGTGCAGGAAGAGGGCAGTTAAACTCTTCCTTCCAAATGAAGGCCCTTGAACCTGCAACATTTATCTTATATGAACAGGATAGGAGAAGGAGGGATGATCCTTGGCCTTGGATATAGTGGGTTAATAATGTACAGAGAAGGATGCAAGACCTGCAACATTACAAAGTTCACCTGAGCCATTCTGTGGAGTAGAGCCTTATTGGTATTAAAAGCAGATGAGACATGCTCTTACTCATTTTGATCTTCAGTATCTAGTTATCTAATATTTGAGGAACAGTATCATATTATTACCATCATAAGCTTCATTAATGTGCTGTCTAGATCTGAGTGTCAGATGAAACAGCAGAATGATTAGACAAGACATTAAAAAACAAAGCAGAAATAAAGCACGGAGTAGAAACACAGATGGCCCTTTATTAATGAAATAATGAGGTAAAAATTTGATCTCATGTAGTTGCATTAAACCCCAAGATTTTTGCTGATCTTCAGCAAACTCTAACTTACCTGTTAGGATCTTTGCATGTATCAGCAGTACTCGCCAATACAGGGTAAAGGAGAATCAGTTGATACTTTAGGCTTTCAAAAGTCTTTGGATAAGAAGTAGCAGAAAAAGTGCTGCTGTTTGTTATGGTTTGACCTAAGACAAAAAACAGATGATCAACAAACCAACCAAGCAGTGTTAAATATACCTGTCAAAGAGCTGGAAAAAGGGAAGAAAATATGACAAAACTTACAGGAACACAGTAGTTTTTGGTCTTCGGTGATGAAGGAATACTGGTATCCTTCAAAGCCAAGAGCAAGCCTGAGACTATGTGAAGAAGGAGAAAACATTTCAGTTCTTCTAAAAATGTGTGCTGTGTTGCCAATAGACTCTCCAACACTGATACCAGGCCAAACTCAGCCATCCCAAGCACACCCTTGTTTCAGAAGTTTGCAATAGCAGCATCATGCCAGAATCAGATACCAGAGAGTGATAACTCTGAAATAGTAACATACTTAAAGTTCTTATGGCATGTGAAGATCTGGGAGGTGTGTGTGAGAAGAATGTTGTATGCTCCTGAGCCAGCACTCTGTTCAGGCAGAAGGATTTGTTAGCTGGCGTCCTTTCCATGCTAGAAGATAGGCACTCCTCCAAGAACTATGGAGGTGCCTCAAACCGCTAATAGCTGCTCGTCTTCTGGGGTCTGGCAGAAGGCCCTTTCTTAAAAGAGATATGAAAATAATAAAAATCCACACAATGTGGGTTTCCCCCACCATCACATTCCATTCTCTGACATACTTCAGCTTCAGGATTAAATAAAAGGAAATTACATCATTGTGTGGATACAAAGCAAAGGACACTGATGGCACTGCTTACTTAGACATATTATGCTCACGTTGCTTGAAGTGTTGATGTTCTCCAGATGGTCTGATTATGGCTTTTTGCAGAGTCCTGCCCCAAGGACACACTTTGCCCTGTCACAGCACTAAAACCCAGGAGCTGAAACCTCAGCTCCAGCTTCTGCTTTCTCACTTTGGTATTGACCATAACCTTAAGAATCTCAATAACTCAGCTGATGAGATGGACCTCTTTTCCCTGGTAAGTGAAATGCACCTCTCGGTGCTAAAAAAAACCAAACCAACAACAAAAAATCTTTATAAGCATAGAAGAAATTTCCATTTATTACAAGTTAGTGTTTTGTATCACGAAAATGAGATTGTGGCATTTTTGCTCTTGACAGAAAGCAGAAGTAAAAAGTTCAGCTCACTCCCACTAACCTCTAGTAGTGGCTGACATTCACATTTTCAGTATCATGGCTCTGAGGCCGTACCTTTGTTCTCTTAGCTCTCACTCATGTTTCTGTGGTTTTTGTGCATTTTCTCTGGTTTTCCTGCCCTTGTTTGGTGACTCCCTGAGCTGTGGTACTTCCACTAGAGGTCGGCTGCAACACACCATTGCCCAGGACCTTGCCAGCTTCCACAGCTCAGGGGACACCAGCAGGAAAACTCTCAGTTTTGTTTTTTTTCTGTCATCTAACACACAAAACCAACTGAAAATCTCCAGTGTGTTTCCAGGGTCTAAAACAGATGCGTAACTCTTAAACAGAAATAACATCCTGCTTTTAAATGCTTGGTTTGCCTTACAAACTGCACCTTGTATGAGTGCAGCCGAAAAGGAGGAAAGTTTGGTTGCATAAACTGGTCTGTAAACCTTTCCTCAAATTAACATTTGAGTAGTTCAGCTGAACTCCCTGAGCTGTCAGAGATAAGCACAGACACACTTGTTTACACAAGGAGGCAGTGATGTACATTACCTGTACTGTAGGCTGGCGGTGGCTTCTTAATTTTTGAACAGGATTTTCAAAGTACGCCTTCTAGGCTAATGCTATTCTTGACAAAGCCTGTGATAAGAAATTTACTATTGACTTTGGTTGAAGGACAGTGGTTTAGAAAATACTGGTCTTCTTTTTGGAGTCATCAGAATTAACAGCAGGGACTTTCACTGTGTCTGCTGGAAAAGAAGGACAACACAGGACCAGAATGTCTCTTTTGTTCCTTTACCACTCCATTTTTTTTAGTATTTTGTAGATAATATGCAGTATTACTTTACTCTGGGTTTTCATATCCATCGTAGGAAATTTATAACAGTAGCATCTCCTTTTGTGTTTTAGGTTCTCCAAAAATTTATCAACATCTTCTCAAAACAGCAGACAATGAGAATTTTTCCACTTTATGATGCAGAGGTTTCTCAGTCAGAGAACTGGGGCATGCTAGATCCAGCCAAGGCTTTGAAAAAGAGAGACAACTGGATCCCTTATTTAAAGGTAGTTATGAGGAACTTCTTTCTTTCGGTTAGTGTTAGTCCTAACCAGTCTTCAGGATGTACCAAGATACATTTCAGTGACTAAAGTCTAAAATATTCCTTTTGAAAATCGGAGTGAATATGTTTTAATAATTCAGGTCTTATCAAACTACAATATTTCTGTATAGTCAAGAGCCTCTATTCATATATGTTGAAAATACAAAATGAATGTGTTGCATTTTCTTTACTAAATATTGCCTCCTATACCAAAAACATGCAGCAGTATTCATAAGTTTTTTTATTACTTTTATGAAAACCACGTTAAGCCTAAAGTAGATCCCTGGAAACAAAAGCTTTGGATGAAATTGAAACAACAGAAGAAAGGAGCTAAGCTGATGGACCTTCATTCAAAATCTCTAGAGTTAATGTGACTTAAAGTGATTTAATTTAAAGTTATTTTAATTTATTTATTGGACTCTTCCAGGGAAATTGAAATCTCTAGAGAAAAGTTGCCTCAGATTTGTGTATCATGTATTTATGCCTGAATTCATTAAAGACCCATTACTAAGGTGCCACAGAGATATTTTCCCCTGTCTTTCTCAGTTCAGCAGTTTCAAAAGGCAGCTTGAACACTTCCATACATATTTGAAAGCTCTGAAGGTCACCTAAGTCAAAATCTCTGAACTTCACCAGGTCAAAATCAGCCCTGGAATTTGTTTCAAAGGGATTGTTCAGAACTGCTCTTCTTTTAATGTGATCAGGGTTCAGACCTGTGCTTCAAAGATAAAGAGAGGTACTCCAGTAGCAAGGTACAAGTTGGTAGGGCACAATGTGCCCCAGGGAGCGGTTACTGAGTGTCTCTATTTTGGTTCTAGCTTCTCAGGTTCTCTTGATTATGGTGATATAATGCCATTTTTTCATATTTTGAGGATGTGCTGCAGGACAGCTCTGTCTAGGTTGCTTGCCACCCAGCCTCCTTGGAAAAATGGCAATGTATACTCACAGATCAGGTCTGTTTTTGCATCCACAGCAGGCTTGAGGCACCTCTTACACCTCACATTCCTTTGTCCTAATTGCATCTTATTCACTGAATGTACCCTACAGGGCTGGCCTGCATCTGCCAAGGAAGCTCTCCTCATTCACTCCTACTGCAGGTGCATGAAGGAGCTGCAGGTGTGACAGACTGTCAGGTGTGCTGGGGTCTTGCCACCTTTTTCCGGTGAAATTTGAGCAGGTCTGGTACCCTCATCTGTAAAAATGGTGTAACAACAGTGCTCTGCCTCTGTAAGATGACATAAACTAATGCGTGAAGCAAGGAGGTTATCATTGAAACAGGTGATAAAGAGTCCTATAAAACTCCTATTCTTAACACCCTTATAATTCCTATCAAGGCTTTGCTGGAATTCCTGTCAACAAAATTTTGCTGACGCTAATAATTGCTAAAACATGACTATGCTTTTTAAATTATACTTCTGATAGAAGTGGCAATTAAAAAAAACTCCTGCAAGATTACATGTGTGTTTTAAAAATTACTTTTGTACTACTATAACTACAGCTACTAATTTTATTTAACCTGGGATTTGTCAGTACTCTGTATACATTTAATCTCCCTAGTTCCTATTTAACATTCATCATTACTTTTGTGGGTCTCAGAAAACATTTGAGCGAGAACTCACCTCACATTGCAAAAGTCAGAAAGAGGATGTGTAGGCTTTACAGCTGAGGTTGGCTTTACAATATTTTAAATAATTTAATGGATTTGATTTTGATGATACTCTTAGAAATATTAGACAATTATGGTCTTTTTCTTTAAAATGTATGTACCAGTGAAATAAGTTTTCTTTTATGATCCCTGTTTTCAGACCTTTTCCCCATGCCAGATACTTCACAAAGAAACCATTCTTTCAAAGCTTGCCATAGCAGGTAATTTTTCTGGAATGCTTGGGAGCAAGCCATTATCACTACTAGCAGAAGTAAAAATGGCTTTGCAGCTCACTGATACAATGGAAAAAAAAAAAGATCATTCTCCTTGGTTTTTTCCACTTTCTCACCAAATACAATATGTTTGATTTTGATCACCACTCATTAAGGGTAAGGGGTGACAGGAAAGGAGAGAGGTAGTCCTTCCTCTCTGTAAATCTCAGGGAAAAAAACCAGTTTCATACTCTTTCTTATCTGCTGTATTTCCTCCTTATGTTATAACAGGCAAGTCCATTTCTATATTTTCACCTTGGAGAGAGGGCAGCAGAGAACTGTCCCAAATCCAGGAGAAGCAGTAAGGAGCGGTGCGGCAGAGGCTAGATGCTCTGAATTGACCTTGACTCACTGCAGGATGGGGTCTGGCTTGCTGCTGCCTCATTGGCCTTGTGAATCTTTTGTCTGCATTTAATATGATTTGACACAAGGTCTCAGACAGGAGAGAGAGGGATGGAGGATCTCCTGGAACACGAGGTGTTTGAAACACATCCTGTGAGGTCAAGTTCCACTGCTTCTTTTCACGCCTCTGGACAGCAGAGCTATGATCATGTCTGGGAGGAGATCTGTGCCTGCACTGAACTCTACCAGAAGGGTAGGAATTATAAATAATGATCAATGAACACATCTAGCAGACGTTTGTCAGCTCTGATAGAGGGCTTCTCTATTAGATTTCTGTTTGGATACCAGCCTTCCTCTTTTTCAGAGTTCAGTCTCCTGCTGGTGCTGGTAAGCAGGAGCTGCCCAGCTGCAGTGCATGGTGTTGTGCCAAAGCTGTGTGCACCGTGCCCTCTCCTCCTTGGTGCTCACCAGCTCTTGTGCAGCCACTGGTCCAGTACAGCACAAGCAGTGTGAGATTGCACCTATGTAAAAATAACACGTGTATGTGCCTGCAGCAGGGCTGGGGTGTGGATCTGGCCACAAGAAGTGTGCCCTAGTATTTCCTGGAGGGTAATGGTGTTAGGGAATGGGTTAGCATGTGTGTATGCTGGAGAGGGGAGGAAGGATGGTGGCATGCTTCGGTTGCTGAAAGCCACCCAGCAGCTAGGCACCTGTGGACCTGAGGGCAGATACCTGCTTTTGTGCAGAGGCAGGTGTGATAGCAAGTTCCTCCTCTCAAGGAGGAAGTGGCATCTGTGGACATCACCTCACAGGGGCTCAGAAGCTGCGAGAGAACTTCATGTTTTGGAGGAGGAGGAAAAAAACCCAAATGGTCTCACTGGCAGGGTAGTGAATGAGAAGTAAGACCTACTTCTCCGGTATCTGGGGAAGTTGTAGTAACTGTGTGTCGAGGTCTGAATGTGAAGGTATCCCTTTGATGCAGATGGACTTTGATTCCTTATTTTTTTATTGTCCTTCTCATTCAGAAGTCCTCCACAGCCACTGCTTTGATAAGTATAAAAGCACAGAACTGTTATATCTCAGAAGTTTCTGTATCTACAGCCCAATGTTCAGTTTGTCTCACTCTACACATGCCTGCACCAGAGGGCCCTGGTGGCAAGGAAAGAAAGAACTGAAAAATCTCCTTGCTTTGCTGCTGTTTTTTAAAGAGGAAAGGTCTCAGCTACTAGGGCTGGATGCAGCCCTAATATTAATGAAAGGTCTTGAACCCCTGCACTGGGCCAGCACCAAACAGGGCAGGAATACAGGGGCAGGGGAAAGGGAACAGAGGGAGAGAGAAAGACCATTTAGTCGTCCACCCATTCCCTCTTTCCTGGTGATTAATCTGCCCCAAGCCTGATGCCAACTCCGTGTTAAAAAATATATCCACATTTCTCTGTAAGGAAAAACTCCCACAAATGAAAACATACTGAAATTCTTCCTACCTCAGGCTGACCCAGACCAGGAAATACCTGATTACTTAATGAAGACTTCAGAAAAAACCCCAAACATTGGGTTGACATGATGACTAATTAAAAAAAAAAAAAAGAAAAAGAAAAAATAACCAGGATTGCACTCTTCATCTTCTGTCAAGTGCACTAAGTCCACAGCTGTATTGGGAAAGAGTACCTGTTCAGGGGCCATGCAAGAAACATGACTGATCTCAATTTTGAAACAGTTTAGTCATCAGGGTTGTTGAAAAACTAGAATTAGATCCTCCATAAAGAAAGAAAAGGTGCTGTCCTGGTCTCAGTGTTTTTAAAATAAAAGTTTAGCTGCTACCCAAAAACGTGCTGTGACTTTTTTCATCATGTCACTCACGTTTTTCAGACAGTTTTGTCTATCTTTTTAGAGTGGAAATTTTAAGTGAGGAAGCTTCATCCATAGTCCATATACTTATTTTTGTATTTTATATAGATGTACAATTAATGCTGTTGATTCAGGAAAATATATTTTAATACTATTTGACCTCATGTTATTTTAAGTAATAGAGTGTCGTGGTTTTGCTCTGGATCAATTTGCTTTCACCCTCCACACAATTACTATAAGTTGAGAGAAGGTTTACGCAGACAAAAGAGACCTGATTGGGGAAAATAATATGAACATTTATTGCTAGCAAACTAAAACTAAAGAACTACATCTATAATAATTTTACTCAAGTAAAAGTACTATGTATTTACAGAAATACTTCTCCCCCCTTTCTATCAGTCCAAGGAGGAGAAGTAGTTTCTTTCTTCATTCTTGGAGCTCTAGGTCTCTTTAATAACTCTGCAGCACTCTCATCGCAGCTGGAACTCTTTCTCTATGTCGGCCTCCAGGGCTGGGCCTGCCCCCTTCCTGGGCTAAGACCAGAGCTTGTGAGTTACCCAGGCCCTGAAGGTCTTCTCTTCCATGGGCTTGCAAGAGGACACCTGCCTACCATGGATCTTCACCACAGAGTCACAGGGGATAATGGCTTATGAGTCCACCCCTGTTTCCTGTGAGGTCTCTCCCCACGGGAGAACAGTCCTTGATAGACCTCTCTGACATGGGTCTAGCATGGATCCCTCACATGGATCCCAAGCTTACTCGAGCCGTTCTCACTTCGGTGTAAGCCTTGTCTCTTTCAGGGTCACAAATTTCCAGTATCAGCAGCATGGATCTCTCACTGAGATCCCAAGCTTACCTGAGCTGTTTTCGCTCCGGTATAAGCCTCATTCCTTTCAGGGTCATAAATCTTCAACAGGACTCTGCCTCATTTCAGTCCTTTTCGTGAAGCTTCAGCTTCCTTGTACATCCACAAGCTCCTTTGTGAGCCGCATGGGGGTCTCCTCACCCCAACAATCTTCTAAAAGTAGCAGGGATTTATTTTTCAGTCTTTTCCCTGCTGAAGGGAGAGAGCGAAAGGGGGAAGAAGTAGCCCCCCCGCCTTCAAACTTCTCTCTCTCCTGCTGCAGCTTCGACTTTGGACATTTCATTATCTTTTTGCTGGAATTTCTTCTGCAGCGGTTTTTCATCTAAGCAGTCAGTCCTTTAAAGGTTTTTTTTCTTCACTCTCTTACAAGAGAGAAGGGGGGCTTCAGTGTTACACCTGCCCCTTGCCCAAACCAGGAGGAGGAGGGGGCCCTGGCCCTCCTTAGGGCCCGCCGCTGCTCCTACATGGCTGCCGCTTTTAATTTCAACCGCGTAACCAACCTTCTCTTCCGTTTTCTTAAATATGTAATTAGCAAAGGCGTTACTGGAACTTTTGATCGGCTTTTTGTCCATAAATCCACCTGGACAAAACCATCCTCAGCCCCAGGGGCTGGCTGGATGGGCAAAACCACGACATAGAGGTGGAAGGACCTAGTGTTTCTAAAGTTTAAGAAATAACACCTTTGAAGTCAATGAGGACAGGATGAGTGAGGATGATCATACTTAGTAAGGATAGAGAAATTAGTTCACAGATAATCTGTCATTTCAAGGATTATGTAAAGAATTCATTGCCTGACAGTTTGTCATCAAGATGTTTGGCTTGAAGGAATTTTTGGAGACAATACACTCACGTCAGCTTGCAAATTTATAGAACTGCCAACGTAGTCCTAAGTATATCCATGTCACTTCTATGAGTAGCTTTGTTAGGATGTCTTGTGTTGAGAGGGATAAATCTGACAAGCATAAATTTGTAAAGATACATTAATAAGATTTTCTTTAATCAGAAAAAACAATGCCAAGATCAATGCTATGAAACATTCAGAACGCTGGAAAGAATGCCATACAAATAAATTGGGATAGAGAAGATAGAAGAGTTTTTCTTATCTACTTGATTGTTTGAGAAAGCTGATTGGATAATGCCATGTAAATCACTGTCCATAATGATCCACAATAAATAAATACTGTGTGACTCACATTGATCTTCTCATTTACACTGATATTAATGCCAGTTTAATGTCACTGATACTGGTGGAGTAACTCCTGATGCTTGTGAGAAGGCCTTGATGGAATTGATACCAAGCAGGTGTAGCTGTTTTTCTGTTTGTTGCTCTTCTGCTACTCTTTGTACCACGGCTTTGAGTGTGCTGGAAAGCAGTGAGGAAAAAAAACACAGCTATTTAATTTAATTTTATAGAATGTTAGGTAGAGATTTTAGCGTATGCTTGTGTTGGGGGTGTTGTGTATACGTCACAGTAAAACTTTCCTACAGCTTAATCTGATGTTAACTTCTTTGTTCCACACTATGATTTTGCCCCATGCTCATCCTATGACCTGCTGGAGCCCAGAAATCAGTTTTTCTTTTAAGTCTGGAAGAAAAAGGATAAACTAGGAGGTCAGACATGTCACTAGCCATATCTGGGTTGAGCTTTTGATGAATGAGATGTTCTGAATTTCTTTGGAAAAATTCCTTGATCTGACCCTTGCTACAGTCTTGGCTTTGACATGGGGATAGCTCTTTCATACAGCCCAGGGACTTCATAAAAATAAACCAACAAGGATTGGCAAGCAATCAAATATTGTGGAGTTATATGCTCTGATAATTTCACTACTGGTTGGATTATGAATTTCATCCAGTATGGAACTTCTTTTCCTTTTCTTTTTACTGTGGTAAAGCCTATGCATAAAATTGTTTAATGTACATATATGTATGTATATAACAAAGCCTGAAAGAAGGATGAACAGTGATACCATTATACTGTTCCTCTGACAGAAGCAGTAGTGCCATCCTTTTCCATTATTCCATTCTGCAGGTTTCTGTGACTGTCAGTTCTGTAGGCAACACCAGTCTTCTTTCAGACAACAGACGTAGCCAAACTGTCTGCTTTGGAGAGGTTCAGAAATCTCCTTGAGTAGCAAAAATGTAATTACATTTTTCCTGTCTGGAAAAAGGTATAGTGATAAAGGCAGCTTATGTGCTGCTAGGGCTAGAAGAGGGCACAGCGACTGCCCACAGGGAGGACATGGTGGGGAGAGGAGCCTACTTGTCCCTTCTTTTCTTACATCACCCGAGAGTCCCTGAGCTAAAGGTAAAAAATATCCCAACATAAAATATGCAGAGTCCATTTTTTTAAGAGGGGAGCTGTCATCCTACTGAAAATGCAACTGTCTGCTTGCTCCAGAGAGTGTGCCTGGGGATCCACAACTGTTTCAATTTCATGGAGAGAAAAACCTGACCATCAGTGCCACTGGCCACTCCTCCAAGCCTGGTCACCTAATTGTCAGCGCAGAAGACACCTCAGGGATCTGTGCTGCCAAAAGAGGCACTGGGGTTTCTGGTGGCCTGAATTCTCAGCCATATGGTCACTACACAAGGTGAGGTATCACATAAGTCTTCCAAAGCACTTTCTTCACCAGGAGTGCCTAATCCAGTTCTGTGGATCTTTCCATGCCAACTGTGTTGTGATAAACTGCTGAATCGCCTGAGGGACTCAGGGTAACCTGTTCCTCAGAAACATGTCTTACCCTAACTGGCTAAATACTACCAGTGGTCTGTAACAAACCTAAGACATTTCAGTCACATGAAAGTACAGTGTCAATAATACCTGCCAGATAAATATTTACTTAGATAGGTGCCGCTGCTTGTGCTTAAACTAAGACCTTTGTAAGTGTGGGACCGTCACACGGCATAGAAGTTCCTGAGAAATTCTGCAATTTATGGAAAACTCCTAATGACTTCTACAATGTATTATTAGGTTTAGGTAGAGTTTAGGACTTTCCATTTCTTAATCCGGGATGAGTGTGTGTGGCTGAAGTGATATAATTAGTACACTTGCTTCACAGATTGGGAAAAAGAATTAAAAATTAAATTTCTAAGACTTATCAAACTTTGGTTCCCCAACTTTTTTGTGAAATATACTGAACAGAATCAATATCTCATGCTGACATTACTGGTTGGATGTGAGATATATAGTATTTCATATATATCTGAGCTGTAGAATTTCCCTGCAGCTCTGCTACCTTACACTCATCCCAAAGTTCTCATTTAGAAAGAGAAGAAGCATGAGAGTATCTTACAAGGATTTGTTTCAACATTTTGAAATCACATTCATTTCTCATTTGCCAGAAAATTGTTTGTTTCATGTAGAAACACGTAGAACTAAACACACAAGGTGTGTTTATAGAACACAGTTCTTTCACCTGCAAGAACTGTGGCTAGACCCAAAAAGGAAGTAGGCTTCCTATCACCATTTTTTGCTTATGTTAAGAGGTCAAATGCCCCACTCACCCCCCAGGAAAACAAAGCAAAACAAACTTCATGTCCTGGGGTACATCAGACAAAGCATTGCCAGCCAGTCGAGGGAGGGGATTGTCCTGCTGTGCTCTGCACTGGGGCAGCCTCATCTTGAATATTATGTGTAGTTTTGGTCACGGTGATATAAGAAAGATGTTAGGCTCTTAGAGAGCATCCAAAGGAGGACAATGAAGATGGTGAAGGGCCTTCAGGGGAAGCTGTATGAGGAGCGGCTGAGGGCACTTGATCTGTTCAGCCTGGAGAAGAGGAGACTGAGGGGAGACCTCATTGCAGTTACAGCTTCCTTGTGTGGGGAAGAGGAGGGGCAGGCACCGATCTCTTCTCTGGGGTGACCAGTGACAGGACCCAAAGCAATGGCCTGAAGTTGTGTCAGGGGAACTTTAGGCTGGATATTAAAAAGATTTTCTTCACCCAGAAGGTGAAGAAAACCAGCAGAGAGTGGTTGGGCACTGGAACAGGCTCCCCAGGGAAGTGGTCACAGCACCAAGCCTGACAGAGTTCAAGAAGCATTTGGATGATACTCTCAGGTACATGGTATGAAACTTGGGAATAGTCCTGTGCAGGGCTAGGAGCTGAACTTGATGATCCTTCTGGGTCCCTTCCAACTCAGCATGTTCTATGATTTTGTGATTTATTCTTTAAAAATATAAGCAGTTAAAATTCTTAAATGAAAGCTACTTGGAACTAGAAAACGGTGTTTTTCTACTAAAGAAATATTGAACGGAGTGTTCCAGCATCTTCAAATTTTCAAATCAGAAAAACTAATTTAAAAACTTTTTCTTTCCAACAAGATTTGTTAGCTTTCTGGGAAGCAGGTGTTGGGACAAAGTCTCCTTCCGAATTCTACGTAGCGTACACCTTTATTTTCGTTCCTCTATTTTCAGTAGCAGAAGAAATGATGCAAAGATCAGTTCTGACTTTCTGTGCATGCACTCTGGTGGGGAGCTTAGCTGTGAAGTACCTCAGAGAGCCCTAGCAATGAGAGAGACGTTACTGCACACTGGGCTCTCTTTCTTCTGGACTAATACCGGGATACTCTTGAACTTTAGCTAAAACCTAGATAAATATTTACTAATCTTATTACAGTTTATTTGGCAGTGAGTTTATAAGCAGA